TTTTAAGGAGAAACTTTCATAGTTGGAGGCAATTGTTCTAAATTAATTAGTTTTTTTCCGGTCATTAATAATGTAAAGCCAAGCTTGATATTTAATTGAATCCCGTTTGTTTCTAATCAGTAAGTTTATCTTTGGTTTGTTGATTAAAAACAAACGGGATTGATGTCATTTTTGAAATGATCCCATGTTCTTAATTTTTCCATGGAGGTTGGAGTTATGTCAAGTTTTTATGATAGTTAAACATGGCTAATCTCTGGTCTTGTTGCTTTTTGCTGATGGATATGGTTTGGTTTGCTGTGTTTTGTAACCAAGCAAGCAAGCAACCTATGCTTTTGTTTAATTCTTGAAGAGGATTGGTGGATCAGGAATGGATACGAGGAGCAAAGCAAGGGTATATAATTTTATGCTTCGAATTTGTCGTTTTTGTTCTTCTTGTCTAGGCTTTCTATTTAGTAAATCTAATGTAAATAATTTTTTTAAAATTTTTTTATGTAAAGACTCTTTCTGGTCCGGTTTGTGATCCTTCAAAGCTTCCCAAGTGGGACCATGATGGTTCTCAATTTTATTGCAGTGCTGGCACAAATTCAAGGTATCTTCTTCATCTCATATAATTCTTGCTATGGCTTCATCATACGTGTTGTCCCAGTTGCAAGCACAATGTCTAGTGAATTTTGAGCTGGTTTTTATAATCAAGCAGCGCATCTATAAATTGCTGTTATCTTTTCTTCATTTTGTCTTTAGGCACGAGTTATTGCTCCATTTCCTGAGTTAAAGTCTGCATGAGACAAATCCGTGAAATTGATTGTTGTTTTTGAAAATGGTGATAATTGACCAGTCTGGCAGTCGGAATCAGTGTTGAAAATTTGTGTGATTTATTATAGAAAAAAGACAAAAAGAAAAGAAAATTGGAGAACACCTAAGACATGTTTTGTGTTTGCCACGAAAAATTGATGTAGTTGAAAATGGTAGGATGAGAACATGTTTGAATGCTAACAATCACACAATCCCTCACACGCTGAGAACTCTAAATACCATTATAACATGCCTTTGATATCTAGTCACAGATGATCCTATAATTAACAATCCGGTGTGCTTTCTGATCCAGATTCCATTCATGCATTATTTGCAGGATCAGATCATTGTTATTTTATCCCCTTTCTGGTAGTGGGATATGATATCTGCTAAAGGAAAAACACTGTTCTTGTAAGAAATACACAAAGGATCTCTTTTATCATATGCAACTACTGGTTCATTGAGGAAAAAACGTTCCTAGAATGTTCTAACTATGATATTACTAGAGTTGGAATGAATGAAGAGCAAATTGGGAGCATGATCTCGCTTTTGCTTTATAACAGTATCTGTGAAGAAACGAATATAATTAATCCGATGAAGCTTTGAGCGTGCAGCCATCAATTGTAAGACATTTGATGTAGCTCCTCTTCTGATGCTAGGCATGGTGCTAATGTTCCTAGATGTTGTAGCTGCATATTATCATATGAAATCATGGGGATTGAGCAGCTACTCATGCTATCATCAGTTGGCAGAAATCCATCATAAGAATGATCCCCATAAGTTTGCAAGTCCTGTATAGTTGGAAAGTTTGAAGCAGAAACTATTTCTTTCATGTTGCCCATTTCTGATACAACTCGTTGATCGTCAAAAAGCCTATTTTCTGCAGAGACTGTTCTGTACGCGTTTTCTAGAATTGTTTGCATATACTTTCTCTGTGCATCAATTCTCTTTTGAAGGTGGTGCTTTACCTATTAGGACAATGAGAACAGAGTACTCGGAAAGGTAAGGAGCTTTCCCCCACCTTTTTAAGACAGAGAACTTGAAATTTTTGTCACTAGCCTTAAGGTTTTCTGTAATTTCTTAGGATTTACCTTTAATTGCTCATCTAAAGTCCTCTGTGCTTGTATTTGCGTTCCAAGCACTTCATTTCGGTGGATGTTCCTGATAAAATGTTGAAGGAAACCTATGAATGAAATGATGATAGTTTCCATTGTCTAAAATATACTTGAAACTGTTATGGGTAGAAAACACTGGCCGAGTTGCCTTTATATATATACACGTACTTGTTCAAGCCATCACCGAAGATTCTGGCTGTAGCAGCATCTTGTAGGTTTTTTAGATGACCAGTTGCTGCTAAAAAGAGAGAGACTGAATTAGATTACATACCGATACAAATGCCACAAACTCCCATTTGCAGGACAGTTAAGAGAAGTAGACCAGCAGCAGGAATTGAAGGATATAAACTAGTAAGTAGAAAAGGAGGCATGATGGAACCCTAGCTCCTTACCATCTCTAATTGCCTGTTCATTGAGATAATTCTGTGGTTGCTTTCCAAGCCTAAATTTCTGTGTACATAGTCAATAAATAACTGAAATAAGATATCCTAAGATGGCAAGATATGTGTAGCTGAAAATCTAGAGAAATGAAGAAGAAATTAACCTGAAGGTGGCTCTTCAAGTGATAAAGGGTCAGACCCTTAACTCCCATAATTCTCATAATGGCCTTAGGTGTGGCCTCTAGATTGGGTTCAGACATGGAAAAGAAAGCAGGAGAAACAAGGTGAGGATTTCGGCAGATGGTCAGTTAACAGTCAGTGACACAAGATCATATATATATATATAATACTCCATGCATGCGTGATGAATTCTTGAGCATATATATATATATTGCTAGTGAGAAGAAGAGTTGATGACTAATTACTGTCTGGTCCTCCAAGCAGGGTGACAGCATCGACAAATCGTTCATGAAGCTCGAGAGTCCATCGGAGACGAGGCTTGGGGTCTGTTGTGATCAGAAGATGGTTGCTTTCTCTTTGAAAGCAGGGTGGCTCCCTATCATGTGTTTGCATCAGTGCTGAAGGCATGCTGGAGTGCAAATTGTTTGCAGTGCCCTGAGATGAGAACAAATGCTATATATAGAGAGAGTTCGGGGAGGGAGAAAACAGGAAATAATCTGTGTATTGAATTCATCTAGACATCAATTATTAGAAATGATCATATATTTTCAAAACATATCAAATCGACATACAGCCTGATAAATAAATTTATCTAAAAAAATATAATTTTAAATTAAATCAGGTGAAAGGAATCATGCTGGTATAATAAATCAACTTGTAACTCAATTGATATAGTTAAAACTTGATTTAATTTTTAAAAATAAAGCAATATTTTAACTTTTTTATTTTAATAAAAAAATCTTTATATATTATTATCCTAGATTATTTGGAACCAATTTAGGTAAATTCATCAAATCCAAGAATCAAAAACAGTGGAAAAAGGTCGAGGAGACCCTACCAGCTAATTATATATTCTCATCTTCTGTTTTGTTTATTGGGAGTAAAAATCATGTTTGTATCCTGTAAACTTAGAGGGAGCAAAATTCACGGGCTCTTTATTAACCTTTTACAGGTACTAGTAGTCATTAAAGACCCAGGAATCTTATATTGGTTGATCTAATGTCCTATCATTACCTACAAAATTGATGTTTGAAAAGCAAGACTTAATTAGATAATAATATATTAAATAATTTATGGCATCAATGATCATCTTATTCACTTGTTTGCTATTCATGATTGACAAAAATCTGAAAATTAGAGTGCCTAGTAGTAGTCAAACTAGGCACAACAAATTAATATATATGAATTCAATGTGGGGATGATATGGGGACGATATATGTTCTTAGACCTCCTCAATTTCATGAGTTGATCCGAGACCTTTCTTGGTCAGGTTTAAAAAAAATCCGAGTGGAATTGTATCTAGTAAGACCTGAGTAATGTGATCAAAACTTGTTTTAACTTTTGTTTTGTAATTTTTTTTTAAATAATATTTTTTAATTTTTTTTAAAAAATCTTAAAACTACATCATTATTAATTGATTTAGATTAACCAGCCTAACATATAAATTAATTCTTGAATATAAATTAATTCTTGAATTGAATCATGAATTGAATTGGATTTAATAACTTAAAGTGATGTTTAATCATTTATAATTAACTAAATAGTTAAATCTTTTAATTAAAAATTTATTACATTTTGCATATGATTTTAGTTGAAGTTGTAATGGAAATTGAACGGAAAGAATAATGTTTTTTTTAATGAGTTTTTATAATAATTATTAAAAACAATGTAATTATATAATTGATTGTAAATAATTAGTAATCCACTTTATGCTATAAGCATATTTATTTTTAAAATTTTACTATAATATTGAGATTTATTTGATGTTAAATTAATTTATGTGGTTTTTCTTATTATTATAAATACATATATTTGATAATAAATAACACTGCTAATCATTTTTCTATTATTATTAAACAATATCAGCTAGTTTTTCGATATTCTAAGGGGGAGAAATAATTTAACGAATGATTCGATCAATAATATATATATATATATATGGCCCAGATAATAATAGGTGCTTACTTTTGTGATGTCATGATCATGGGAGAATATTTTCCTTTTCAAATATTCTGTACGGTTTACTAACTATAATATGCAATTCATCTGTATTCCAATCCAATTATTAACATAAAATTAATATTCACAAAAGTATTAGATATGATAAATTACTATGTATTGTTACACTAAAATGTTATTTTACCCTTTAGTGAAAACATAGAAGCCTTGATTGTTGAGGTAATTTGATCTTTTTAGATGTTAATTTGTCATTCTTCGGGGATATATTATTGTTTTCTAAATTTTTTGTGCAATGAAATGATGAATTTATCAAAAAATTAATAAAATTTATAATTATTAACCATAAATTATTTAGTTTTTTTATAAATTTTAAAATAATTTATATAAAAAAGTTGTTGATATATGCTTATTACAAGTATGCATGTTTGTAACACATATGATATTATCCGGTAGTTAAACTTGCTATTTCGTTATATTCCTGAAAGCATCATTATATCATTTTCCTGATAATATAATACATGATAGTTGATGATAGATGGTATATTGTCGATGATTGTTTTTTTTTATTTTGTATTTTTTCTTTTTCAAATAAAGCACATGTTTGTGTTTTTTTTATTTGTAAATTCTAGTCTTTATGTTTTTTTATTGTTTATTTTCATCCTTAGCTCTTTTATAAAATATTTTCAATTTAATTCTCAAATTATAATTTATCATATATTATTTTTTTAATTTGATCTTTATTATTTTAATTTATAATTTTTTTCCTTAGTTTTTTTATTATGTGTTTTTTTCTTAAAAAACCATTTTAAAAAATTTATGAATTTTTTTATAATTTTAAATTGTTTTAATGTGTTTATATTAAAAATAAACTTTTAAAAAATACTTTGATATATTTTTAAATAAAAAATATTTCAAAAATTAATTCCTACTACAGTCTCAAATACTACAATATAATATCGGTGCAATGAATGTAACCATCGAAATGAGTATCCAAGAATGCAACGCATTTCGTAAAATTTCAAACTCCTACTGTGCTCTTTCCAGACAGTGTCTTGTTTTGATGGAAGGTTGGGACACCAAAGAAGAGGATTTTGAACCATGCATGATTAGGCTTTTTACAAGTTACAAAAAGGCACGCTGGCTGGCACTGTCTATAAATACTCCCACACAGCTCTGAGAAAAACCAATCACAGACAACTTCTTTTGATTCCCTCTAAAGAATCATGTACAAGAGAGGGATGACAAGTTTGTTTTCATGTTTTGAATTTTTTTTAAAAAATATTAATTATTTGATTTTAAATTAATATTTTAGGGTGTTTTTATATCATTTAGATATATATATTGATGTTAAAAATAAATTTTTAAAAATATAAATTATTATTTTAATATATTTTTAAATAAAATATATTTTATAAAATAACTGTTTTTAAACGCGACATCCGCAGCACGAGGCAGGGCATTTAAGTCGAGGTTGAAACCAATCATTTAAGTTCAGTTGGCTTGGATCATTACAATTGATTGGCTCTTTAGCCTTGACACTCTACATGTGTGATTGATCCATGTAGACGATGACTAAGACATTTACAATTCAATGTTTTCATTCTCTGTTTTCATCTTAAAAAAATAAGAATAAGATATGAAGATTTATTAGTCTTTGTTTCAAAGTTTTTGATGAACAAGTGATTCTATAAAACTTGTTTTTTTGTAATGTTGTTCTATGATTTAAAATTTACAATTTAATTACATTGATATCAAATCTAAGTATTAAGGTATAACTAAATTTAAAATATATGAAAACATGGTTGATATATTTAAAATATTGATTGGATTATAATCAAGAAATATTTTGAAATAGAGCTGGAATCAAGTCGGTATGTTTCAAAATCAATTTAAGATTGGATTTATAATTAGACTAGGCTGAAATCAAACTAGTTTAATTTCGAACTCATTATTTTTTTTAAAAAAACTAAAAACTAAAAACAAAATAGAAATTGCAAAACATAAAAAAAAAAAAGGGTACCAAATGATTTTAAAAGAATAATTGCATATATAAAAGTCATAATCTGAGTTGTTAGGCCAGACAACTAAGCCAATATCTCCATTATTGTGGCTAAAAGGGCATGCCATGTGTGCGCCTAATTATCTTGGAAATCAAGCATCATCCAAATCCCAAAGTGCATGCATGCTTTATTGTCGAAAGGTTCTGCGGATTTCTCCCCTGATTTGAAGTGACCATAAGTTAAAATCAATTCATTTGTTGCAGTCGTGCCAAAAATGTTCTTCATATCTTTCGGAAAACCCAAAAAAAAAAGGAGGAAATTAAGTAATGAATGATTTGAAGTAGGTGTTGTGTTTTGTACTCTAGTGGAGTTTTTTTTTATAATTTAAAATTGATTGAAATGATGTTATTTTATATTTTTATTTTATTCTTGATATTAGTATATTAAAATTATTTAAAAATATATAAAAAACATTAATTTTTAAGAGAAAATTAATTTAAAAAACACTTTAAAAAATAGGTTGTAAAGCACGTAATTACAAAGGGTTTGATATCATGATATATTAAAATAATTTTAAAATTTTTTTTATTTACAAACACATTAAAATATATATTTTTTACATTATATACTTTATTCTTGATACCATCAAATCAAAGACATTTTTAAAATCCACTTAAATGCAATTCTAAAAAGAAAAGAAATCAGTGGCTTAAGCATGCACGCGCATGTCCATGCTAATCCACTAGAGGGCAAAGTCATCTGCAGTACTGCTGTCGAATCTCTGGGTCATTTCTTTGATTGAAGAATAAGCAACACCACCACATGCAATGCAATGGATTTGGTGTGATTTTGTGCTTATATCCAAGCTCTGTTAAAATCGTATTTTTGACATAATTGAGGGTTTCCACCTCCTGTAACCAGTCTTCTGGCCAGGCTCTGCCACCACCACTACTGTCATTTTTTTTTTTAAATAAATGTGGGTGTCCGGGCTAGCTTGCGCGCACCACCACTACTGTCATTCTTGATTGATGATTCGAAAACAGAATGATCCCATTTCCATTTTTCCTTTTTCCATGAAATGCATCAAAAAATAGCATGGAATGGATCATCCCCGATCCCTCTCCACCCCAGTCTGAATATGAATATATATATATATACATTAAACCCTCCCCATAACAGTGCCACTACTGTGATATTACAGTGTATTATTATTATTTTAATAATGTTCAAGCTTCTTTACATGTATTTTATCTAATATCTTAAGATTTTAAAATTAATAATTAAATAAATCTTAATAGTGGAATTTTTTTTAATTTAAAATTGATTGAAATGATGTTATTCTAGTGGAGTTTTTTTTTATAATTTAAAATTGATTGAAATGATGTTATTTTATATCTTTATTTTATTCTTGATATTAGTATATTAAAATTATTTAAAAATATATAAAAAACATTAATTTTT